GCGGCTGCCGGGGGCAGGAGGCCCCGCGCCGGGCTCCGGCCACACGGGAGGAGGGCGACCCCACAGCCGTCGGGCCCGTTTGGGGGAACTCAGCTGCCCTTAGACAGAGCTCAGGGCCCCGCGGCCCACCGGGGACACCGCTGGGGAGTCTGGGTGCTCAGGAGGGCCCAGCTCCTGCTATCAGGCTTCTGGGGAGGCAGACACCGGCCGTCATTCATGCAAGCCCACCGCCTCCTTCTCGCCAGGCGGCCCCATGTGGGGTGCCAGCGTCATCCCATTTGACAGCCGAGGAGCTCGAGGCTCTGAAAGGCTCAGCGGCTGGTCACACAGGAGGTGATGGACTGGGGGCCAGAGCTGGTGTGTCTGCCACCAAAGCGTCCTCTGTCCCCGGTCCTGCCCCCTGCTGACCCTGCCCCTTCCTGCCCCATTTTCAGAAACGGGTCCCGGAAGTACCCTCCACACCTGGTGGAGGTGGAGGCCATTCAGCACAAAACCACCCAGATCTTCCACAAGGTCTACTTCCCTGACGACACCGATGAGGTGAGGGCGCTGGCTTCTCAGGCTGCGGATGCCCCGACGGGGCTGGGATCCCCAACCTCCCCCCGCCGCCCCACCCCCCATGTGCTGCCTCATCCTCCTGCCCCTCCGTGGAGTCAGGGCTCAGTCAAAAGGCCATGGGCTCCCAGGTAAGGGGTCACTTGGTTTTTGGCTTCCTGCAGCAGCTGTCTTTGAAGACCCTCCCACCCCCATTTTCCAAGATGCCCTGGAGGACCGTGCTTTCTCCCTGTGAGCCGGGCTATGGCTGGTGCCACCTCCATGCTCCCAGCTCTGTTCCTGGACATAGAGCCCCACAGGCCCCGGTCCAAGCTGCCTGTTTCCTCGAGCCCACTTTCCCATAGGCAGAAGCCCCAGACCCCTTCCTTCCTCCCTGCCTGATGCAGTTGGGTTCCCTCCTCCGTGACCTTATCTTCCACAGGTCCCGTCTGTCTGTCACGACCATATAGTCAGGGTGTCACATGATCCCACTCCATCTCAGCATAGTGTCTCATTCGGATGACCTTGCGTCCAGCATCTAAAATTTTAGTTTAAAGGGTAGTTTTAAAACTGATCTGAGACCAGAGACTCAGGAATGCTACAATAGGGTCAGCAAGGACAGAAAAGGATGCCCCGCCATCCTTCCCTGTCCCCTCTGGTGGTGCCATGCCCAGATCGCTCTCCTCCCTCTGGCCACACTTCACAGGCTCTCAGGCCTCTCACTGGTCTGGGCTGCTTCCCCTTCCTGCCCTTGGATTTGCTTTTCCTCTTCCTCAGTCTATCTTCTCCCAGTTGCACCATTCCTGCTGTCACTCGTGCCTGCACAGCTAGGTCCAGGGCCCTGAAGGCCAAGGCCAAGGCCAAGTCGAGCTTGGAGGGTTGGGAGGACGAGATCTGGCAACACCCAGACAGGAGCAGCTTTTTCCTTTTTCAAAATGCCATGCCCAGCCCTGGGCCCATGGAGAAGGAGGGTGTCCCGTACGGGAGGGGCTCAGTCTGGGAGGCACAGCTAGAGAGGCATGGGAGGACCAGGCCTGGGAAGGACCCTGCAGCAACCAAGTGCGCACCGCCCCTCCCAGGCCTTCGAGGTGGAGTCCAGCACCAAGGCCAAGGACTTCTGCCAGAACATCGCCTCCCGGCTGCTCCTCAAGTCCTCCGAGGGATTCAGCCTCTTTGTCAAAATCGCAGACAAGGTGGGTTGCTAGCCGTCTACCTACCTGCTGTCGACAGCTGGGGCTGTAAGAATTCACAGGCAGCAGGGGACGGGGGAGACAGAGTGACAGGAGAAAAGAGAGGCGCTGGTGTTCGGTGACTCTTCCTTCCATCCCTGCACGGTTGTCCCTGCATCCTACTCCCTGAGGCCCACCCTCCTGGAGCCATTAGACGGGCACTCTGTGTTCTGGATGCACCAGGTTCCCCACTCTGCCCTAGCACACTGTGCTTTCCAGATGTCCTTTTTTTTGAGTCGGAGTCTCACTCTGTTGCCCAGGCTGGAGTACAGTGGTACACTCACAGCCACCCCAGCATCGACCTGCTGGGCTCAGGCGATCCGATCCTTCTGCCTCAGCCTTCCAAGGAGCTGGAACTACAGGTGTGAGCTACCATGCCCGGTAGAGACGAGGTCTTGCCAAGTTGCCCAGGCTGTTCTCGAACCTGCGGGCTCAGGCAATCCTCTCACCTCGGCCTCCTAAAGTGCTGGGATTGAGCCATCGCGCCCAGCCCCAGGTGTCCTTTGACTAGTCTCTCAGCTGCCATGCTGGGGCCAATGAACCCTGGAGATAACCCTCGAAGGGGGTGTAACGATCCCCACTTAATAGATCACAGGATGACGGCTCAGAAGAGTTAGGTAACTTGTCCAAGGTCACACCCACGGCTCCTCCCTCAACTCCTGTGTCCCTGGACATCTTAAAGGCCCAGCTTTAGAGCCCCCTCCCACAGGATGGCTTCTGGGCTTCTGTGAGCATCTGGCAGAGCTCAGTGCCCCCTCCTGTCACCTGCCCACAGCTCTACGTGCATCCTTGCCTGTCTTCTCACTCATGACTGTCCGTGCCAGGCCCTGGGACCCAGAGGTGACCCCACTGAGGTCCTGGGCCCAGGGGAGTTCTGGGCTTGTGGGAGCTGCTGGACATGGATGCTACAGAATGTCCAAGGCAGGGACTGGGCCTTGTTCATGGCCAGTTGTGTCCTCGCCACTAAGTGTAATGACTTGACAGGCAGGAAGTGGGCTGTGCTGGGGACATGACACGCACAGTCGGGCCAGGGTGGGGCTGACATATGGAATCCGCTTCTGACTGGGATGGAGTCTTCCCAGAGAAGGGACTGCTGAGAAGGCCTAGGGTGGGAAAGCCAGAAAGCTCAGCTTGTTGAACTACAATGAGTGAATCCTGTGGCCATGCCCCAGGTCATCAGCGTCCCGGAGAATGACTTCTTCTTCGACTTTGTCCGACACCTGACAGACTGGATAAAGAAGGCGAGGCCCATCAAAGACGGTAATGAGGCGGGTCCAGGGAGCCTCTGAGCCCAGGGCAGGGAGGTGCTGGCTCAGGGCCCAGCGGTGAGGCTGTCTGGGTGGGCTTCAGTGAAGGGGCAGGGTGTGGGCACCCCTCGGTGCTAGGCCCTCTGGGTGACCAAGTGCCCTGTGCCACAGGAATCGTGCCCTCGCTCACCTACCAGGTGTTCTTCATGAAGAAGCTGTGGACCACCACGGTGCCAGGGAAGGACCCCATGGCCGATTCCATCTTCCACTATTACCAGGTGAGCTGCCCGCCCCTCTGCTCTGGCTGCCTTCCTGTGCTGCTGGCCTTGATGTGCTCTGACCCTGAAAGCAGAGACCCACTGCCCTTGCCAGATGAGTGGCCTTGAGGATTCCTGCCAAGACCACTGGGGCGCCAGGGAGTGGCCCAGCCCTGATCCTTCTGCCTCCCGAGCCGTCAGCCTTAGGGGCCTGGCAGTTCTCCCTCCGAGCCTCCTCTCTGGACTAGATTCCGCTGCTGTCACGGGGTCATCCTGGCCTCTGTGCAGTTCCGTGAACGTTTTCTAGCACAGGCATGCCCTACAGGAAGCCGGGAGGGCTCGCATGTTGAGTCTCCACAATGTGTCCGTCCCTTTCCACTCATCCTGTCCTCCCAACAAAACCCAAGAAGTAAGCATGTTGTTCTTATCCTATAGACCAGAGAGGCCAAACGGTGTCATTAGGACCACCCAGCTGGTGGGGCCAGGCCTTTGTGACTGCCAGTTGGTGCTCTTTCCTCTCCAGTGTATTTATCCTTCTGTGGGAGACCAGCCAGGATGCTGGGAAGGGCAGAGAACGTGGCAGGATGCTGCCTGGTATAACATGTTGGTCTGGGAGGCAGCAGGACCACCCTCAGCCACACCTGGGATACCTCTCTACCCCACGCCGCCTCCCCACCCCACCCCATGCTGCCCGTGGAGTGGAGGGCCCCTTGACTACTAGTTCCCCGAGTCAGCCTTCCCTCACCTCAGTGCCACGATTTTACCCCTGGATAACTCTAAGATCCCTGACTGTCATCACCACCCTCAACCTGGGTCAATCCACCCTCATCTCATCTGGATGGAGACAGTGACTCTCTCTGCCCCCATCTGTCTTTGTCCCCTTGAATCCTCTCTCCCCAGGGTGCTCTTCCTGCTTTCCAGATCCCCTCAGGGGCTTCCTATTGCTCTTAGGGCCTGGCCCCAAATCTGGACTGAGGCCCTGCATGGTGGTACCACTGTCTACTCCTGCTGCCTTGTCTTGTACCTGGCACCCTTTGGCCCAGAGCACTCCGTCTACATTTTTTCAGATTCTCAAGCATGCCACAGGGCCTTTGTAATGTTACTCTGTCTGGGATGCTCTTCCTCTGATTCCTCCCTTCACCTACTGAGCTTTCAGATGTCAATTCTGGAGCAACCCCTAGAGTTCCCTCCCACTGTGGGAGCTTTTCTGTCCTCTCAATAAATCCTGCTTTCTAAAAAAATCAAAAAGTTAAAAAATAAAAAGATGTCAATTCAGGGGGCTGGGTGGTGTGGCTCACGCCAGAAATCCCAGCACTTTGGGAGGCCAAGGTGGGTAGATTGCTTGAGCTCAGGAGTTTGAGACCAGCCTGGGCAACATAGTGACACCTCATCTCTATAAAAAGTTCAGAAAATTAGCTGGGAATTTGGCACGTGCCTGTAGCCTCAGCTACTTGGGGAGGCTGAAGTATCACCTGAGTCCAGGAGGTTGAGGCTGCTGTGAGCCATGATGGTCATGATAGTGCCACTGCACATTAACTGGACAACAGAGTGAGACCCTGACCTATCCTAGAGGAAATCTTCCCAGTTCCCAAGATTAGATAAGGTCACCTTGTTATATGCTCTCAAAGCACGGTGAGCAATTCCTTCAAAGACCACCATGATGCCTCCTCTTGGTGTGCTTGTTAGATTAATGTCTGTTCTTGCCTTGAGACTACAAGTGTCATGGGAGTAGGGAGGGTATGTATTGTTGCTTAAAGTGCCTGGCTCACTGTAGATGCTCAACCAATATTTGGTGGATGGGTGAATAGGTGAGTTTGTGACACAGTGAATGGATGGATGGAAGGATGAATGCTAAGTGAATGTACGAGTGGACAGTGGTGAGTGAATGGGTGAGTAGGCAGGTGGATGTGCGGGTGGGGAGGCCCCTAAGTGGGTGGGTGGGAGGATGGATAAGTGGGTATGGATGGATAGGTGGGTAGGTGGGTGAGGAGGAGGAAAGGCGGATGGATAATGACTGACTCAGGTCTCTGACCAGCAGTGTGTCCTCAGGCCACCTCAGTTTCCCTACCTTTCAAATAGTAGATAAGATCATCCTAAGGCTCCAGGAACCCTTGGGCAGTGCTGGTCCTCTAGAAGCTTTTGGTCCATTCCTCATCGTCACTTGCTCTGGTTCTGCTTCTGGAAGTTCAAGGGAGCGGGTGGACCCATGCTGCTGCTGCTACCAGCTGGTCTCAAGGGAACACAGTGGGACTGAGAGACTCTTCCAAGGGATGACAGGCCAGGGAGGTGAGGGTATAGGATGGTCTCAGATTCACTAGCTTGTCACTCTGAGTTGTTTCGTCTTTGAATGGAGCTGCTCACCTCTCTGGTCTGCTATGAGGGAAATGAAGTACAATTCAGACAAGGCTGCGCTTCCAAGCTGTAGAGTGCTGAGTCCGTGTCCTGGGCAGTCTCCCCTGGGAGAGCAGGGTCAGCTGAGGCTGGAGAAGTGGGTAGGGCACACACAGGGGGAGGCAGCAGACACCAGTCTCGGGTGCCGGGACGAGAGCCCGCTTCCATCAGGTCCCTCCCGCCTGTGACCTGCCTGTCCCTGCAGGAGCTGCCCAAGTACCTCCGAGGCTACCACAAGTGCACGCGGGAGGAGGTGCTGCAGCTGGGGGCGCTGATCTACAGGGTCAAGTTCGAGGAGGACAAGTCCTACTTCCCCAGCATCCCCAAGCTGCTGCGGGAGCTGGTGCCCCAGGACCTTATCCGGCAGGTCTCGCCCGATGACTGGAAGAGGGTGAGCATAGGGTGGGCAGGGAGTGGGGGTCCCCAGTGGGCCTCTGGGCATCCCAGGGCTCAAGAGGACATGCACTGGCTGGCAGCCCGAGGGAGGACCTCCAGCGGCTCCCGTCTGTGGCGAGACCCCCACGCAATCTCTACCTGCCTCCTTCTCTAGTCCTCCACGCAGAGGCCTCGGGGGCTGCTTGGTGGTGCCTCTGGCCTGCCGGGGGTCGAGTCCCTTAGCTGGGGTGGGTGGGGGACCCTTCACAGCCCCAGCACCACCTGTTCCAGGCCTGTCCCGACAGTGTGGATGGGGCTGGAGCGCAGGGAAGGGGTGCGGAGGGGGAGAGCGCCCTAAGCAGGCCTGCCTCTCCCCCCACAGTCCATCGTGGCCTACTTCAACAAGCACGCAGGCAAGTCCAAGGAGGAGGCCAAGCTGGCCTTCCTGAAGCTCATCTTCAAGTGGCCCACCTTCGGCTCGGCCTTCTTTGAGGTGAAGGTATGCCATGTGGGAAGGAAGAGGGTGAGTGGCAAGGGAGGTGGGGGACAAGATGGCACAGAGACTTATCTCCAGGACTGTAGGAAACAGCCATGACCTTGGACATGGCAAGGAGAGGAGGGAAGCATCCTCGGCCTTGCCCCAGCAACATGTCTTGGCTAAGCGCTTAGCCCTGGGCTCAGTCCTGGGCACCGAAGGGCCAGAAGCTCAGCCTGGCAGGAGGGGCAGACGTGGAATGGCCAGGGCGGTGGCCTGTGCTGTGACAGTGGGGAGCCCTCACCAAGACTGAGGACAAGGGCTGGGGAGGCTTCCTGGAGGAGGTGATATCTCAGCTTTCCAGGGGGACCCTGGAGAGAGTGCTCTTGCCAGGGGACCCACAAGAGCACAGGTGCAGAGGTGGGGCAGCTGAGGTCGCAAGTAGTTGAGTGTGGAGGGGTGAGCCGGCGGTGGTGAGAGCAGGCTACCAAGCGGGCAGGGGGCTGGGCTCCTTCCTGCAAGAGCCTTGGAGGGTGGTGCATGGGGTGACAGGGTCAGAAGGCTATGCAGGCTGTGGGTGGAGGCAGGAGCTACAGGCACAAGAGGCAGGGGGCGGCAGAGAGGCTGCTTCAAGGGGACGGGGGATGACCCTGCACACACAGAGCATGGGAGGCCCTTTGAGATGCTGGGCTCTTCAAGGAGAGGAGGTAGGGAGCTGGAGGCAGGTGAGGGCTGAGTTAAAGATGGGAGACCTCTAGGCAGAACGGAAGAACACAACAGAAGCTCATGTGGGAACTCATGAAGGGATGTGGGTAGCATGGAGGGCCTGGCAGAGGTGGGGCCTGTGAGGTCGTGGCAGGGTCCTCAGTGCCAAGTGCGCAGCAGGAGAGGCTGACGCTGTCCCAGCTGGGGGCAGCTTCATTCCTGTCTGCAAATGTCCTCCTCTTTCTTTGCTAGCAAACTACAGAGCCAAACTTCCCTGAGATCCTCTTAATTGCCATCAACAAGTATGGGGTCAGCCTCATCGATCCCAGAACCAAGGTGAGCAGGGACCAGAAAGAGCGGGTGGGGGCGGGCTTCTCTGCCTGCGCCACTCTCCTCTGCCCCCTGCCACACATCCTGAAGACGGGTGTCCACATCTGCTGGGTCTCTGTCCTTACCCCACATTTGCTCCATTGGAATTGCTCTCCCAGAGTTGCTGACAAACTCCTTTCTACTATCTGAGCTCTTTTTAGTACTTGGCTTTTCAGCATCACTGGACATCCTGCCCATCTGGGTGAGGATGGCGGGCTGTGTGGGGGACCATTTGTCTGTACAGCTCGTGTTTTGGGGCCAAAGCAGTCCTACCACGTACCCAGCAGGTACAACGGGACAGTGTGAAGAGCACTCCTAACCACTGCGCTCCTGGCTTTCTCCTTCAGTCACTGACACTTCTGTGGGCTTCATCTCTCCCCAGCCTATGCACACTGTTTCGCTAAACCTGTCTCCTTCTCGTCTCCCTCCTCAACCTCTCCCTGGACCATCTCGCACAGGCCCATAGTTTACCTCAGGCCTCCCAATTTTCCAATTTCAGCCTCAGTCCCCAGCAGCCTCCTAGACTTCCTTGGGGTCCACACCAGGCGGGCAGGGATAGGCAGCTGCTTCTTACAGCAGCTCCACGGTGGAGCTGGCCTCTCCCTCTGGCCGTGGTCTCATCTGAGGGCCCAAAGCCTTCTGGGAGAAGCATCTGGACTGGAGCAGGGGGAGTGAGGCCAGAGGGCCCAGCGTACAGCTCCATGCCCTTTCTACTCACCTAGGACATCCTGACCACGCACCCCTTCACCAAGATTTCCAACTGGAGCAGCGGCAACACCTACTTCCACATCACCATCGGGAACCTCGTGCGTGGGAGCAAGCTGCTCTGCGAGACGTCACTGGTGAGGGCTCTTCCTGCCAGGCCTGGTGGGCTCCCTGCCTCGCCTGCACTTACCCAACCCCCCAGTCCCTGGCACAAACACCGAAGTGTGCAGCTTGGCCTGAGGTCAGGGTCAAGGGTCACCTTGGGGCCAAAGTCAGGTCAGTTTGAGGCTCAGCTTAGGTCTAAGGAAGGGACTTAATCCAGAGCTGAGGAACAGACGCCTCATTCAGCACTGTTGTGAGTGCCTGCAGTATCTGGAGAGGGAGACTGTGGTGACAGCCCTTTATAGCCTTGGAGTTCAACTGTGGAACCATCAGCAATGAGACCGCCTGGCCTGAGCATAAACTTCCAAGGTACAGCCTGGCTGATGGCTGTTAGAGTCACTCCTGCAGGGAGGCCTCCAGGATTTGAGTGACCCACAAGCTCGGGGCTTACTCTGGGCTCATAACAGCTTAGAACCTTGGCCATCTGGCTGGATGAATCCAACCCCTCAATTGTGCAGACGGGGAGACTGAGTCCTGGGTGGGACAAGATGTGCCCTTGTCCTGGGTTCTGCCCCCTTCGGAGACTCCCGGGAGCTGTGTTCTGGACCTCAGTGGCTGGCCCTGTCTCACTCTGTGCTCTGCTCATCTTCTCACCAGGGTTACAAGATGGACGACCTCCTGACTTCCTACATCAGTCAGATGCTCACGGCCATGAACAAGCAGCGAGGCTCCAGGAGCGGCAAGTGAGTGGTGTGGAGTAGGTGCTGGTTCCATGCCCACTCGTGAGGCAGCAGCTGGCGCAGGCCCATCAGCTACCCCTGCAGCTGGGGAGGACCTCTGCAGCTGGGGAGGACCTCATTGGGCAGCAAGACTGGGCTGGCCGGCCACCTCTGACTGTACCAACTGGGCCTTTGACCTCCGTCCGGTGAGTCAGCCTCTCTGGGAGGCAGAGCCACCATCCACCCCTGGCACCTGGGTTGGCCTGGTCCTAGCTTGCGTGACCTTCACAGTTGTAAGAGTCAGTGCTCCTTGGATGCCTCTTGTGTCTCAGACCGGTCCCACCACGCAACCTCCTTTGACTTTCCATGTACCATTGTGACAGAGGAATCAAGAGGACAATCTCGCTCTCCATCCTGGGAACAACCAAACCCTATGTGCATTGAATAGGATCCTCTGAAACCGAAGGGACTGGACCCTTAGCCGGGGTGAGGGCGACGGACCACTTTTATATATTGCAGTGTGAGTGCTGGGCCCCTGCTGGGTCTCCCCGATCGCCTCGGGGCATAAAGTGTTTCATCCTCTGGTCCTACTGTGTCTTTGCTGAGGGTGGGCAGAGGGAGGGGAGGGTGTGTGGGGTCAGAGAGGGCCCCACAGGGGAGTGGCCTGTGTAACTACTTCCTTGGCCTTTGCCTGTTGGGGCCAAGCTGGGTTGGGTTTTGGGGTTGGGGAGCTTGAGCTCAAGGTGTGCTTCAAGTGGCTTCAAGGGCCTAGCGGAGCCTGGGTAGGCTGGGGGGACCTACGGCTCATCAGTCTGGATGTGGAGACCTACGTGTGCACGGGTCGAGAGGAGGAATCAACTTCTGGGCCATAATCAAGGCCAGTGGAGCCAAGGTGGCCCCTGTGCCTGTCAGAAACATCTCGTTGTCCCTTCAAGACACGTCCAAGAACCCCGAGAACAGCACTGCCTTGGGTTAAATCGGCATATCCAGTGGGTGCCTGGCACATGTTGCTTTGTGGCCAGCAGGGGACGACCAAGTCTGGACGGGGACGGTGTGATGTGGGCAGGGGGCGTCCTCCTGGGCTGTGGCTGGGCTGAGTGCCTAGAAGAGTGACTGTGGGAGTCACCTTGAGGAGTGGAGTTTGTGGTCTGCCCTCCAGGTCATTGGGCACTTTGGCAGAGCCAGGTCCTGCCTGTCCCGCACTCAGGTGTCTGGGGCATCATATCTGTGGGCCTAGCTGCCTGTGTAGGAGGAAGAGGGGCTGGTGTGTGCAAATGGTGGCACCACACTAGACAGCCCTACCCCACCAATGTTTACATGGCTCCATAGTCAGCCTGGTGTAAACCTGAGCCAGAAAGGGGCTGTGGTGGCCTGTCCCTACACCACCATCACAGAGATGGGGACCCTGAGGCCATACGGTGGAACTCAGCTCACTGCTTCTAACTCTGGACTCCTATGCTGAAGGAGCCCAGATGCTTGTTCTAAGCTCAGTTTCCCCCTCAAAGCCAAAAGGCCACTAGGTGGGCACAGAGTTATGCCCACCGGGGAGTTGGTGAACCCCTAGCTATTAGGAAGCATCCCACTGCACACTAAAGTAGATACTGGGGGTGAGAGGGGATGATGAAATCTTTGCCCTGGCCCATGCCCACGCCCCTCTCATTCTTTGGCTCAGAATGGCAGCACCATTGTGCCCACCCTCAGCTTTCATCAGCCTGGGTGCAGAGGGGTCTGACGAACACACCACTCTCTTCTGAGAGGTTACCTTTATTTACACACACGGGCCCTCCTTTAGCAGGGAATACTGTGGAAGTGTTAGGATGAGACTAAGCCCTGCGATACCCAGAGGGCACCCGGCTTTAGTTCCAGGACCACATACACTGTGTTCCCCTGGCTCAGCCCCTTGAGATGTACTCGATAGAATGGCTGGACCAGAATGGTTTCCTTGGGAGCCTCAACAGCCCTTCTGCATGCCTTTATTGATTACTTCCCACCATCACCACCCTTAGGCACAGAGAGGAAGGGAAAGAAGGGGCTGGGGTGTGGCTAAATTTTCTCCAAGGACATCCTGTAAGAAGAGGACGTGCTAGAGGAAGAATGAGCTATATATAAGGATTCGTGGGAGGAGGACTCAGCCATGGTGGTCTCTTGGGGTTGGTCTAGGATAGGGACATCTATAAGTCTTAGGATCTTCATAATGGGAGGATCAATGTGTTTAAGCGGGGGGTCTGCCTGCTGATCCCCTAAGTGGGCACTTTGGTAGTTTGATGCTCTCCCCAGGGACACTGGTGATTTGGCAATCCCCTTAGTGACCACTGGTATCATAAGGTCTCCCTTGAGGGCATTAGTTATTTCACATCCCTCCTGGCAGGCACTGGTGTTTTGAAGATCTTTTTTCTGGCAATGCCCGGTAGAATAATGTCCTCCTTGGGGGGCATTGGTGGTTTGACATTCCCCCTGGGAGATACTGATAGTTTGATGCTCTTCTTGGCAAGTCCTGGTAGAATAATGTTCCCCTTGGGGGCTCCTGGTAGTTTGAGGGTTGCATCCTTGGGAACTGCTGTAAAATGGAGGGAGTTTGGATATCAGACTCTTCTTTTGATCCAGGCTGGCTAGAAGGTGGCCAGAGTCCAGGGGTTTTCTGTGCCTTTTTTTTTTTAAGTAGGGGCTGTTACCTAAATGTCTGTAAGAGATAGAAAAGGCAAGCACATATTCCTCAAGTGTTGCTTCCCCAATGCTTGTTTGCTAGGTGGTAAACTCACAGTCCTCTCTTAAATGTTAGGACTGTCTCCACCCTCTCAGGCTCATTTTTCTAAGCTCCATGCCCAAGATTAGAGATGGTCTTCTAGCTCTGCAAAAAAGTCCATTGTGTGGGGGCTAAGGCTTACCAAGGAAGTTCTCAGAGGGTAGGGACTAACATTTCTTCAAGATTATACACTGTACAATTATTGCTTCCAAATCAGCTTATATAGAAAAAGGAACACTTTCTGCCCATTAGAACGTGAGTTTCTTGAGAGGAGGAACTTAATATCCCCAATGCCCAGAAAAATCTCTGTCGCATACTAGGTGCTCAATAATTATTTTTTTAATTAATTGGTGAAAAAATTGGTAATAGAGGGCTAGAGAACTGTGCTGAAGACAGACTTTAAAAGTGGATAAAATACAAATAAAAAACTTCTTTAAATTATTTCAGAGTTAACAATATAGGGAGGAATTGTGGGGCCCAAAAAAAGAAGAACGTGAGAATCCAAAGAAGTAAGCCCAGACCTAGCTATATGCTGCCTATAAGAAACTCACTGTGGATAAAAAGACATACCTAGATTAAAAGTAAATGGATGACCAGGCACAGCAGCTCATGCTTGTAGTCCTAGCTATAGGGAGGCTGAGGTGGAAGTGTCATTTGAGCCCAGGAGTTTGAAGCTGCAGTGAGCTATGATTGCACCACCACACTCTAGCCTGGGTGACACAGCAAGACCCTGTCTCTAAAATAAAATAAAATAGCAAGCAGCTATAAAAAGATACACCATATTGACACTAATGAAAAGAAAGCTGGGGTTGCTATTCATATAACACAAAAATAGATTTCAGAGCAAATAATATTACCCGGAATAAATGTCATTTCATAATGACATAGATCATTTCATCACAAGGACAAAACAACTCTAAATGTACCTATTATCAGCTTCAAAACACATGGAGCAAGCATAGATAAAACTGCAGAGAGATAATCAAATCTACAATTATACTCAAAGATTTAGATATCCCACTCTCAATAGCCAATAGGACAGGTGAACGGAAAATCAGCACGATACAGAGGACTTGAAAAACACTATTAACCAACTTGACCTGATTGACATTTATAGAACACTGCATTCAATAATAGCAGGATATATTCTTCTCAAATGCACATGGAAAATGTTCCACGATAGATCATATTCTGGGCATTAAAATAGTCATAATAAATGTAAAAGGATTTAAATCATACAAAGTATGTTCCCTGGCAATATAGAATTAAATTTAAAATCAACAGCACAAACACACTTGGCGAATTTCCAAATATTTGGAAGTTAACACACTTCTAAAAAACCATGGTAGAAGAAATCAAAAAGAAAATCAGAAATGATTTTGAAATGAATAAAATGAACACACAGCTGTCTTAATATCTTTCAGCTACTGTAACAAAATACTTTAGACTTTGTAATTTAGGAACAACAGAAATTTATTTCTCACAGTTCTGGAGGCTGGGAAGTCCAAGATCAAAGCATCAGCAGATCTGGCATCTGGTGAGGGCTCTCTTCTTCCAAGATGGCACCTCTTGCTGCACCCTCTGGGGGAATGAATGCTGTGCCCTCACATGGTGGAAGGGAAAGAAGAGCAAAAGGGCCAGGGCACTCCTTTCAACTTCTTTTACAAGAGCACTGATCATACCCATGGGGGTGCAGCCCTTTGACTTAATCACGTCCCCAAAGACCCCACCTCTAACATATGAATCTTGGAGTGACACACATATTCAAACTATAGCAACAACATATCGCATACTGTGGGATGACATGAAATCAGTATTTAGGAGGAAATGTATAGCATTAAATCACTGCATTAGGAAAGAAGGTTTCAAATAAATTATTTCAGTTTTCACCTCAAGGAGTTAGAAAAAGAAGAGCAAATTAACCCCAAAGTAAGCAGAAGAATGAAAATAATAATGATCAGAGTGGAAAGCAATAAGATTTTTAAAAAACAGAGAAAAATCAATGGAACCAAAAGTTGGGTCTCTGAGAAAATCAATAAAATTAATTAACCTCTAGCCAGACTGATATGGAAAAAGAGAAGGCATAAATGACCAGTATCAGAAATGCACAAGTACAGTAAATCTCTTCATTTATTTAGTTTTTCTGCAATTCCTCTTCACAAGGTTTTCTGCTTTTCAGTGTCATGCCTTTTACCACTTTTGTCAGATTTCTCCTCAGGTACTTCATACTTTATGCTATGCTATTATAAATGAGTGTTATCTTCGGATTCTACCAATTTCTGGTTGGTCATAGAAATACAGGTGATTTTTTTATGAGAGAGGTAACATTATTACAGATTTTGCTCTGGTGGAAACTGAAAAATTGATTTGAGACCTTCTTTCCTAATACAATGTTTTAATGTTGTATATTTACTCCCAAATACTGATTTCATGTCATTCCACAGAATGTGATATGTTGTTGCTATAGTTTTGAATATATGTGTCACTTCATAATTCATATGTTGGAACCTAATATTCAAGGAGGTAGTATTAAGAGGTGGGGCCTTTGGAGAAGTGATTAAGAGAGCTGCACCCTCATGGGTGTGATTAGTGCTCTTATACATGAGAGGAGTAACATAAGAAATGAGAGAGGTAAATCACTACAGATTCTACAGATATTAAAAGAAAAATAGACTGGGCATGGTGGCTCAAGCCTGTAATCCCAGCACTTTGGGAGGCCAACGCAAGAGGATTGCCTGAGCCCGGGGGTTCAAGACCAGCCTGGGCAACTTGGTGAGACCTTGTCTCTACAATATATCAAAAATTAGCCAGGCATGGTGCAGGCACCTGTAGTTCTGGCTAC